CTGCATGTTGAATATATACAGGAAGTTGAAGTGGAAGATGAGAATGGTTTTAAAGTTGGAAGAGAAACAACTTACACTATGATAATGAGTACTAACTTAGTACTAACACCGAAGAACACACTGAAAAAAATTAGACTAAAATTAAATATAAGAAAGGCCAAATGACAACAGGTAGAATAACTAGTGTGTCACTTTAGAGAAAGAGGTAAATTTATAATTGTATTTATAACTGCTGTAAAGAAGATAGAAAGCCACTTTTTTGTATTTTTTCTTTTCTATTTTTCTTTTTTCTTTCTTCCTTGCATTTTTAGCTTTGATTTTTTTTCTTTTCATTTCCTTACTCGTATTAGTTTGTACTAGTTTTTTATCTTTTTTATAAATCTTTTAATAAAATTATATCTATATCTACAGTATATGTATATTTAAAAAACACAGGTAGAATAATTAGCCATAGAATTGGCAATGAAGATATCAAAGTGGTGGATAGCTTCTGCCTTTTAAGATCAACCATCAACAATAAAGCAACAAGTAGTCAAGATGTATGCCGCAGACTAATACTTGGTAGATCAGCTTTGCAGCAAGATAAATTCCTTGTGTGTCCAATCATGCTTGGCCAATAAAGAATTCTACTCTACTCTACTCTACTCTACTCTACTCTATAAATAATTTTATTCTATTATATGAAGAAGATATTCAAATGCTATGTCTATACCTTTATAAAAATTAGAATCATGTAAGTCCATGACATTCCTTATGACATTCTATATAAGTGAAAGCTGGACTTTGAAGAAGCAGGATAGGAAGAATATTGATATCTTTGAACTCTGATGTTGGAGAAAACGTCTGAGAATATTGTGGACAGCCAAGAAAAGAAACCAATGGCTCACTGAACAAATCAAGGTTCTAATGCTGGGAAAGAAGGAAACGGGGAAAGAGAAATGGGGGAAGGGGGAATATCATGAAGAAAGGAAAGGAAAAGGAAAAGGAAAGGCCATCAGCATGGTTGATGGGGCTCAATTTCAGTGTTGATGAGGGCATGCTGGGAGATCTGAAAGAATGGGTTAGATCAGTGGTCACCAACCAGTGGGCCGGGGACCACTGGTGGTCCGTGAGAAAATTTTGGTGGTCCAGAGAGAAATGTAAGCCCCAAAGCACCCCCCAAAGCTATTAATCCAGGATGCACAGGAACACAAAGCTGCACTGCCCACATGGCCTGCAGGAACACAAGGCTTGCGTCGCTTGCATTGCGAACAGCACGAGGTAGTGAGGGGAATGGGGGAACTTGCCCTTCTCGCCTCACGCTCCTGGCCTGGCCATCAGGCTGCTTCTTTCCGCTTCTTCCTTCTTCTGCTTTTGGTTACACGCAAGGAAAGCAGCAAAAATCTTTCTTTCTCTCCCCCAAATTCTGCCAGAAATGAGTCTTTGGGACCCTGCAAGGCATCCCACTGCAAGACGCTGTGCTGGCAAAGACTCATTTCTGGAAGAGTTTGGGGGGAGAGAAAGAAAGACTTCTGCTGCTTCTGCTGCTTTCCTCGCATGAAGCCAAAAGTCTCTCTCTCTCTCTCTCTCTCCCCAAGAAAGGAGCTGGAGACGGAATCCTGTGATCCCAAATAAAGAATGATCAATCAGTAGGAAAACAGGGTGGGGAATTTTCCTGCAAACTTTTTGGGGGATTTTCCCAGGGTCTCTGGTCTGCGGGATTTAAAATTATGAGTTTGGTGGTCCCTGAGATCCAAAAGGTTGGCAACCCCTTGGGTTAGATTGTCATTAAAAAATCTGTGTGGTTGCTTGGAGTCAAAAGTAACTTGACAGTATATAATCAATCAATCACTTAAAAATCATGCATCTTCTAATTTAATGGACAATTGTGAATAAAACATCCTCCTTCCTACAAATGGTCCATTAAATTACAGTTTTACTGAACACTTATGATCAGGACCTAACATTTTTATAATAATCTTTAATTTAATTTAGTACTTTGTATATTAGTACTTTGTATATTTCTTTAGACATATCATTTTAACAAGCAAAATAGCTTATTGTATTAAATATTAATATACAGTAATATGTATATATTAATACAAATACTACTAATACGAATATATACTATATATTAAATCGTATAGAATTGTACCTGAGTTTTTGGTTTGTATTTATCTACCCACGGTTCAGTTTGGCTGTGATTTTGTTTGAATTGTTTATATTTCTCATCTACAGAAATCGGTTTTCTTATTTTTCTCCCACACTTGTAATTTTCAAGCAGAGGAAAATGCTCTTTGTTCTCATGATAACTGTCAGTGAGCGATTTTTTATGGAGAACACTAGATGACAGTTTTGCAGTCTCACAGAAATCAATGAAAGATGGTTCCACCCAGTCAATTTCCTGATAATATAAGCATATAGAAATTATTGCAGCCCAAAAATTATCAATTCTTAAACAAGTTAGTATTTTATTACTGCCTTTATATATAGTAACCAATATATAGTAGTTAATAAAATATGAAGTAAACTATCATAAAATGTGTGCAATCATTTACTAAACATAAAACAATTTAAACATACATAAATCACTTCAAAACATTTATTAACATTTTGCTTATCTTTAATAGTTCTTACATTTCAACTTTGTTCAATATTAAAAAATTAGTGCAATTTTTAAACAGGCTGAATTCAATTTAAACAAACAAAAAATTGCCAGATTATTTTTCTCCACTCTCAGTAGTACATAATCTAGTCTTTTAATTAAAATTTTAGTTATAATGATTTCAAAATACTCCACTTGGCTATAAGAATTTTGATATGCCTGCATCAGCCTGAATTAAACACATGATGCAATAAATAATAATTTTAGAGAACAACATACTTTATTTGGCGCTGTCTTTCTTTTTGAAGATTTTTTTGACATCATCAGCCTTTGCAGTTTCCATCCAAAATGTATGATTAAATTCCTTTAAAAATAAAGTACCTAAAAAATAAAGAAACTTTTATATTAACAAAGTCTGCAGCCCTGAAGATAATTACTGAAAGAGAACTTACATTTGTTTTGTTTCTCATTTGTATAGCTTCTTTTTTCTTTTCTATATGCTGTTACTTTTTTAAAAAAAAGCTATTCTTAATGGCTACAGAAAAGGAATGCCAAAGTCAAAAGTCCCTGAAGCCCCTGTTGAAAAGAACACACTTCTGCTTGACAAAGATACTGTAGTTCTAAAATTTTCAATGAGAGCAATATCTGTTTAGTCCATAAACAGAATAATGTACATAACATTATAATACTATTACACATGCATCATAAGATAACCTGCATATTTAATTTTTCACAACGAATCTCTATGTGTACAATAATTTACACATATGAAATTACCGTGACATAAGCAAATGGAAATTGTATAATCTCCACTCTAATTCTAAATATACTTGAACTATTTCAGTTCAGAATATTCTCATTTAGTGACAATTGGATCAGCAACTCAGTTGTTAAGTGAAGCAGTCACTAAGTGAAACCACAATTGAGTTTACAATCTTACTTCAGTTTTTCTTTTGCTTTACAGACCTGTGAAGTAGTAGTTACAAAGCTACTTTTTATTACCACTGTAACTGCAACTGTTGCTATCTGAGATAGTTGCTAAACAAGGACCATCTGTATATTAAGCTATTTTTATTTTGAAGCTAATCAGCCAAGGGAATCCTAATCTAAACATGCTCCTAATTAGGATACATCATTGTAACCTATTTGATAAAACTATAAACTTCAAGCTTTTGATAAAAGTTCAAAAGCAGACTGACAACGTATCTGCAAAACTGGCTATTGGGCTTACTGTCAAAAACAGAATAGTGTCCTGATAATTCAAAAGTAAAACAGTCAAGACTTCATTACTCCTTACAGTGTCACCATTACGTATTGTACACATAAAACTAATGAATAGCATACAAATAATTGTACAGTTCACCTGAGATAACAAGACAAAGTTTCTAACAATTTATATTACACATCTGAAATGACAAACACCTTCTCTGACAAACAGTACACATAGTATAGATTATGTGGATCACAATGGATTATGTTGAAGGGTTTCTATAAAGTTTTTCAAATTTTTCAACTTTTAAACTGTACTAACTTCAAGTCCTAGAATTCCCCAGTCAGAAATCTAGGAGTTGGTCCACACACATCCTGACACACATCTTAAGGTTGACAAGTTTGAAAACTAGTTGGGGTCCCCAAACTTTGCAAAGTTAAGACTTGTGGACTTCAATTCGCAGAATTCTCCAGACACCTATGCTGGCTGGAGAATTCTGGGAATTTGAAGTCCACAAATCTTAAAAGTTACCAAGTTTGGAGACCTCTGAGTTATATCTTTGGGAATCTGGCAAATGAAAAAATCATGCTTAACTGCGTAAGAAACACGTATGCAATTAAAGGAGAAGCATTCAAAAGCAGCAACAAAAATTGAATACAGGTCACACGATACAAAACGATTTAACCAATGGTCTCCAAATATTGATTCAACGGCTGCTCTTAAGACGACTGGTAGTACGTGTGTACTCTCCCCCGCCCCACCTTTCTATGAAAAAGGCATGCGACAAGGGTTCATAAGGAACAGTCACGTATGTGGGATGGGCAGCAATATAAAATAAACAATCCAGCAAAGTGTGTGTGGGGGGGGGGGAGGTTGGGAGGCTTTGTTATTCTATAGGGGACATCTCCAAGGTGGAAGAAGACTTCAGCCGCCATGCACTTTTGAAATAACTGTCCCGACTACGCTCAACTACGAAGCCCAGCTTCGTCCCCCCCAAAACAGGCACCATTTAGCTCTTGCCAGGCTGCAGCCCACTTATTTCCGTCACTAAAAACCACACCCAGCCCTTCACACTCCCCTCTTTCTCCCTACCCTCTCTCATCAGGCCAACTCCATGCCGATTGGGGCCTTTCATGCTCTTCGGCGCTTAGCTGTTCGCCGACCGCCTTAATAACGGTCGCCTCTTTTAGTCAGGCCCTGCGAGAAGGAGTAAATATGACCGAGAAAGATTCCGGGTGGGTGGGGGAAGAGAACCCTACACGGCTTTACCAGTCGCTGCTTTTCCACCCACCGTTGGACTTCAAAGAGGAAGGAGGGCCAGTCTGACGTCTTAGTCTGCTGCCATCCGAGTTGGACGATTCAGGCCCCCGCGAACTGCTGCACGTGGCTTCTGGATGGCAACTTGGAAAGTGGCTGTAGGAGCAACAGAGCGGCTATGAAGAGGCCTAACATTTTACTCACAGGTAAAAGGGAAAAAAACAGCGAAAGGGTCCGTAAACAGAAGAAGAAACGGGAAGCTGTTCCGGTTGGTATAGCTTTAGATCCAGCGCAGTCGCGCTTTCCAAAAAGAAGGAAAGAAATGGGGAGTTTGAAAGAGCGTAAACAAATCTCTGATTCAGTCTCATGCCAGGATAATAACACAGATCCCAATGCTGCCACAATCAAAATCGATGATGGGGGTAGCAAAAATTAGCTTCATTTCTTCAGCAGAGCTGAACAAGCTTCTTGGATGAGAAGCGAAACGTATTCAAAGAAAACCCAGAAAGTCCAATTGCCTCTTGAAAAAAGCACTTTGGGACAACCATCACCTGGTTGACTGAGAATCTCCATTGACATTTAGCTTCATTTGCTTTGCGTTATGCTGGTACAGAGAAAGTTAGCTTCATTTGCTTTGCGTTATGCTGGTAAAGCAACCAGCGTAACGCAAAGCAAATGAAGCCAACTTTTGCTATCCCATCATCGATTTTGATCGCGGCAGCATGGAGATCTGTGTTATCCTATCATGAGACTAAATAGGACATTTGTATTCAAAACGTGGGGAAGCCCATTTCCTTCTCAAGAACAGCAGGTAAAAATTACCCTTTCCTGTAGCTGCTTTATTTGGTTAAATTATATATAGGAGCATGCCATACGATTAATTGAAATACAATTACCTACTTTCAGTTGGAAGTGGAGGCATTACTCCATGAACATTAGCACCTCTTGCATGTGAAGGCCAAGACTAACCAATGGAGCTTGTATAAATAAGCCCTTGTTCAAAGATGTGTGTGCACGTGTGCTTGTGTGCATCTATGTATTTACATTTGTATATGCTAGGACTAAAGTGATCACATTTTTAGAAACCAAGAAGCACCAGTTGCAATAAATATCTTGTTTAGTCTTTCAGGTCAATTTTGCAATGGAAGTTTATTATATATTAATATCTACTACAGTACTTATTGTTTATTTATCCTTTATTGTAGGGACACCTGGTGTCGGGAAAACTACACTAGGCAAAGAGATAGCTCTGAAAACAGATTTTACATACATTAATGTGGGGGATATGGCTAAAGAAGGTAATTTTTAAATTTTTACAGTATCTACAATTTTATTAACATTTATATCCCAATTTTTCTGATGTACATGGATACATGCTATATCTAATTTAATAATATCTATAATTAGTTTAACTATTTTAATAATAATGACATTCCAGAAGGATCTCTAAAGTGGAATTCTGTACAGCAAATTAGAGAAAAAGCAAATATGAAAATCAACTGTTCAATCAGTGGGGAAAAAATCAAACTGAAAAAATAATTCTTTTCCGAAAAACCAAGTGGATGCTATCTAATAGATGAAGGGAAGGTTTTCTATAATTCCAGAACAATGAATAACAAGTTCATTGTCTAAATAATTGACTATTATAATTAAAATGATTTGATTATAGCTGTGGAATTCTGGGAGTTGAAATACATACTTCATGAAGGTGGCAAGTTTGAAGAACACTCATCTGGAACATACAATATGAGATTTCTGAGAATAAGTTGGCTAAATATAGCTTCTTATCAATAACGGGTTTCCATTTTTTTAATAAGGGGAACTTTATGAAGGCTTTGATGAAGAATATGAATGCCCAATATTAGATGAAGATAGAGTGAGTTTAAACTGAAACATGAATTTCATTATTCAATCTTTGTAACTAAGAATCCATTGTTTAGATTTTTTTTGCATTATTTTCTATATAGGTTATTGATGAAATGGAAGATAAGATGAAGGATGGAGGTGTCATAGTTGATTATCACAGTTGTGACTTCTTTCCTGAACGCTGGTTTAACATAGTATTTGTGCTTCGCACTGAAAACTCTTTTTTATACAACAGATTAGAAAACAGGTAGGTCAGTGACACAAAACTGAATAAAATTAGTTTTAGATTAAAACAAACCTTATGAATGCATAATTCCAAATTTCAATATTTTTACCTAAATAATTTAAATGTTGCACATTTTTATATTTTTCTAGAGGTTACAAAGGAAAAAAGCTTCAAGACAATATTCAGTGTGAAATCTTTCAGACAATTTTTGAAGAAGCTATGTCATCCTATAAAGAAGAAATTGTACACCAGTTGCCTAGTAATACTCCAGAAGATATGGAACGGAATTTAGATCAAATTATACAGTGGATTGAACAGTGGATAAAAGACAACAACTGATTTTGAAATAATCATATTTATAGGGATAAATAGAAGTTGTGTTTTCATTCATTGAAGAAACTAATAGTTCATTCAAGATTAAAATTAATGAGGCCACTGAATTTTCTATTCTATGCTGTGTTCTTTAGACTCTGTGAAAGCAGGTATCAGACATTAGAGTTAAGAATTTAAAAATCTGAAATTATACTAAATTGGGTATCCAATAATAAAAATATTTGAAAAGATGAAAAATAATAGTTCCTTAGTTAATATGGCTGCCAAAATCTTATTCCTGTACAAAGTTTTATTAACAGCGGATCTTTTGTAATTCATTTCTAAATGTGGGACCATGCAATTTAATATATGAACATAATTTTGGTCATTATTTTATTAACATGTTGTAAATACCCAGGCAAATTTGTATCTATGTTTTTGTTATTTATAAGATTTGTTGCGACTAAGTAAACTACTTTTTGTTCAGCTTATTTCTTGTTCAGTTTAGAAGGCATCCTCATGAACTCATCTCTCTCTGATTTTTGAAATAAGTAAATAGGTAATATGTGGCCATAACAACAATGATCCAAGAAGTGTCTGATGCGTGGTTCATAATATTACCAGAATTTATTATCCTATTTTTTTCTAAATATTGAGTAACTTGATAAAAAGTTATAGTGAAAAGATGAGAACATTGATTGGTGAGAAACTGCATTTTGTCATGTAAAATATGCCTATATAACGTACATAAAGTATATTTTTTTCTTTGCAGCTCCCAAATTTGATATTAAATGTATCAATAAATTACGATTTTAGTCCTAATCATATATCACTGGATTCTATTCAGAGTTTGAACAGAGGACTGTATTCAGATTCTCTTCTTTTTCCCCATCCAAGATCCAAAAGAGACTTTGAACTTCAGGGATATACTCTTCTGCCTCTTGTACTATTAATGAAATGACTTGATTAGAAGCACAATTGCCTTCTGTTTTCTATTTTGGTTACATTCTAAAAATGGTTACCAATCCCACTTAAATTGAATCAACATGAGATGGGTTTAAAATAGGGTCACACATACTTCCTTCTCCATTCCTAAACTGGGTCAATAATATTATTTTACAGTATTCCTATAATTGTAGTAATACAGGTCATCATTTAGCTACTACAGTTGTGATCATGATGAAACAGTAATGACCAGTTCTTAGACCTTTACAGGTCTATAAAGCAAACCCAAGCTGAAGTAAGATGATAAGCATAGAAGTAGTTTCACTTTTGACTGCTTCATTTAATGAATGAGTTGTTGGTCCAATTGTGATTGCTAAATGAGAATTACCTGAAAAAATATTTTTAAAAAAGTCTCATGAAGCATAATTTTAGTCACTCTGCCTAGAGTATTACTGTACTTCATTTGTCTGAAACTAAAATTCTCAGACAAAGTTACATTTTGTTAAACATTAAATATTTTTAGATTGCAACTGAACTGATTGAAAATAGTCACTTCTGTTAGGTACTATGTTCATGGTATCTGAAAAGCATGCTTGGCCAATTGCAAGATTCAATTTACCTTCTGTATATTAAGTATAGTGATTCTTGGTCTTTGATTATTACAAATATTGCAGTATTTAGGAATAATGTTTTGAGCAGTCAACAATTTGGATCATGCATCTTTTATTTAGTACTGTATTATATAGATTATTTTCAAAATAATTCTTATAACATTTTTCTGTATGTAATTAACAAATATTGAAATATGTTTTTTGAAAATAAAAGACAAAAGGCAAAGATTTAATGGTAAGTTTAATTTCCATCTCAATGCAATTGGTTTGACTCAGTGGCTTACATAGTGCAATACAAATTTAAATGTATGATTTAATTTATAACTATGGCTTAATTACAAAATCATTATTTCATAGACATCTGCCTGAACCTGTATTATTTCTAATACTAGTATATTAGTTGTTTAAAGAAAAGTTTATATAAGATTTCAGTAACCTACCACATATGAAAATAATTTCAAATATCCTATTAACTTAATTCAATCTAGAATTTAAGTTTGTAGCTTTGGTTATTGATTTCCCTGGTGGAAATCTGTTAAGGATTTTGCTCCTCCCCACCCCATCGGCAAAGAAAGCCTTGAATTCTTTTCTACAAACTATTTTAAAACTTATGCCATATAGCGGAAAATACAATAATTCGGTTTGTAGGAAAACTCCCGAGCATCTGAATAGAGTAGGAAAAAAATGTCGCTGTTTGTCATTGAGATAAATCGACCAGTTATCGGAATCAGTAGAGTGGAGCCTAACAGTACTCTTTAAGACTTATTAAGTTAGGGTTAGGGTTAGTATATAAAATTATACATTGCAATGTCCTACCTGTCAATGAATACTTCAGCTTCAACCATAACAATACAAGAGTACACAATAGATACAAACTCAAGATTAACCACACCAAACTTGATTGCAGGAATTACGACTTCAGCAACAGAGTGGTCAATGTCTGGAATACTCTACCTGACTGTGGTTTCTTCCCCAAACCCCAAAAAGTTTAACCTTAGGCTGTCTACTATTGACCTCACCCCTTTCCTAAGAGGTCTGTAGGGGGCGTGCATAAGCGCACCAACGTGCCTACCGTCCCTGTCCTATTGTTTCTTTTTATTTTTCTTATATGTATCCATTTCATGTATTCATAACTATGTTTATACTTTTACCTGTTATCCTATAATCGCTTGACAAAAAATAAAATAAAAAAATAAAAAGTTCTTTTAAAGTTACCGCCTTCGTAGTCCATCAAACTGGAAAAACTATTCGACCGTCGGACATTTGTTCATTTGTTTCCGTCTTCTGACGTGGTTTGTGGCAGAGGATTGACCCTGACTTCGCGAACAGGAACCTGCTTCCGCCTCCATTGGATCCGGCCAAGTAAGCCGCGCTCCACCTCAAAGCGCGGAGGAGGCGGCGGCATTGCGGTCAAAAGCCGGGCGAAAGTTGAAGGTCTGCCCTGCGGGAGGAGGAGGAGGAGGAGGAGGAAGGGAGGGCCCTACTGGGCAAACCAGAATTTGGGCTGGTAAAGGAGGAAGTGGAGAGAGCCGTATCAGACAGGTGGGCGAGAGAGAGAGCTGGTTCTTCCCGCTGGATCCGACGCTTCGTGTGGGAGCCGCGACGGGTAGCTCCGGGGCGCCGCGATCGACGTGGGGGGAAGGAAGAAGGCGAAGACCACGTTGAGGCGGAAGCCCGGGGCTTTAGCTCTGTGGAAGCTTGCCGTCCTTTGGAAAAGGAAACCTGTGGGAGGCCTGCTAAGGGAGTTTGTGGAAGAGTTTGCGTATCGTGTTCTGGAGGCTTCAAATGCACTCGGGTCTGCATACCTCTCGGGAGCTTACTACTGGGTTGGATTAGTGGGCGTTTGGCTGTCTTTGCCGACCAAGTAATCCAACAAGGAACAGGCTTAGTTCTGGTCATCGTGGAGGTGATGACAGAACTGCACCTGTTGAATGTTTGGTTGCAAGGTGCTTATATGTATCTTATAAGCACCTTGCAACCAAACAGTTCGAAGCCCTGCTTCGAACAAATGAAGTGCTACTGTGCTTAACAAAGTTAAAAAATGCATATAGTATAAGAAGCAGAATGGGTGTACCTTACCGAAATGACAATATGATCAGAACTGATAATTTTTTTCTAATAGTGGATTACTATAGTAGCCCATTAAATGTCAAAATGGATTTTATGTTATCCAGGGATAAAAGAAAAGACCCTGATAATGCATATAGAACAGTGAATGTGGCAATTTAATAAATTGTGGGTTATTGTTTGTGTAATATATGAATATCTGTTAACCAATCAATACATATTTAATTGTGCTTAAAACTGCAAAGAATCAAACTTTCAGTGAAAGTTGTAAGAAGTAAGGGGTAATATGAAGAGGATGAATGCATGCATGCTGTTAATAATGGTTTTAGTTCATGTAATGATTACTTATAGAAAAAGGATAGCTTTACTAAATTAAAGGGAAAGGGGAAAAGAGATGTTGTTTGAAACAGCACAGCACAGCAATTCACGGCTGGAAGGGACCTCAGAGGTCACCTAGTCCAACCCCTGCTCCAAGAGTTGACTGACTTTAAAAAAAAAATCAGAAAAGTATTGAAAAGCATTGGATGTTTCTAGTTTGTAATTTAGGTCATAATGCTGACAGTACTTTGATGATCAAATTTACTTTGTAGAAAAAATAAACACTTAAATGTAGAATTGGATGCTTTGTAGCATAATTAGATACTACATATAACTTGGTGCCCCTTCTACAATTAGTGACTCATTAAGAAAACCAATGCTTTGTTTTTTTTCTCTGATTTAAGTAAACAAAGCACCTGGATGTGTTTATGCCAGCAAAGCCCAGTTTTATAGCGATAGACTTTTGTAATCTAAATTTGCAATCATTTTTGTTTTATATGCAGTAAAAAATGTTTTACATACCTAATAATTTTAAAACTGAAAGGTTTGAATCAATTAGGAAACATGAATACTGGTTAAAATATCTGTAAGCATGTTAGAACTAAAAGCTGGGGGCATCTTAAATCTAAACACTATTCTACATTTTTGGGAACTTCTTTTTTAGTATACCTTTACCTGAAGATTTTAAGAAAGTGTGGAAGCCTGGAATAAGAAATCATTTGTATCGCCAATGTGTGAAGCAGGCCTAATGCATAACAAACTGTGTGATGCCTTAGAAGGTGAAGATGACATGATATATGGAGATTTGGGAAATGGATTTAAAAAACATAATGGTATATATGAATCAGAAGGCTTCCACAAACATACAGTTAGGTCTAGAAGTGGTTCTGCAAGAAAAAGCTTGTCAAGTGATGGAGAAGAACACGATGCAGTATTTTTTCATTGTTCAAAATGTAACAGTTTGAATGACGTGCCAGTCAAAAAACTTGAAAGGAATGGATTTGCTCCCTCCAAACCACAAGCCAGTTCTGGTAAGTCTTAATAATGTTATTAAGTGATGAAAGTCTAAAGTTTCACAAAATTAATATTGGTGAATGTTTTGATCCTGAATGCAGATATTAAATGCAGAAGTTCCATTTATTAGACCAACTTGATTAAAAATGATGACTGAAAGCTTAATTACAATCCTTGCAGATGCATATGTTCAAAGCAAAATAAATACATTAGTTTCAGAAATAATTTTGACCTAGGTGTATGTTCTTCAAATGAAAGTTTGGCTCATATTGATGCTCTGATAGCTGGATTATAAATATTTGGGCTTGCCCTGTATCATTTTATATGTACATGGGAGTACATAAAGCAGTCTTATTTTGGCTAAAAATACAATTGAATACTATTTCCATGAATTTGAAATTTAATGAATTTGTACTTTAAAAGAGATAACTCTAGGAGAATTTTCCCAGGGGAACATTTGGCTGGGACACACTGCTAAAACCATAGACAGACTTAAAGAGGCGAGGGGTAACAGTCCCTCTTTATAGACTCATGCAAATTTGAATATACAAGTAATTGCACAGAGCAGCAAAGTATTTGGATTTACAGTAGCAACATATTTGATTGGATGTAGTTAAACATGCATCTGCAGTAGTGAGGTCAATGAATCAATTAGGATGTAATTAGAAATAATGGTGCAGGAATACAAAGACAATACAAGTTTTGAAAAACAAAGAGGCAGTATTCTATGAACTCAGTTTCTTTTTGAGGAGTTATTTTCTTTTGATTTTGCAGAGCTCTACATGCCTTTTTCAAGTTTATCACCATTTCTTGGCCCTGTAAATGTTTTATGGTTGAGCTGACAATTTAGTTTCCCTGAGCTTTGGTAAGAAGTTTTCAGCGTGACTCCTCCAAGTTAACCTTCCTGGCAATGGATCATAAGAAAGGAAGTAGTAATTAAAAAATGTAATAAAGCGATAAGGACTAGCATGTAAGTGGGCAGTTTTGTTTTACTGACTCCACAAGTTAGATGCAAGTCTCCAATAAATATGGAAAATTTTGTAAATTCTAAGCACCCAGGAGTTAACACTGTATGTTTATCTATAAAGATAGATTTGGATGACACCTTGAATAGAGTTTAATAGGCCTGTCTGGACAATTACAGTGTTAGTCAAGGAAATAATTTTGCCTGATCCATAATTTGGAAATTCACATTTTCCTAGTACTGTACTCAGTATTTTCAGATTTTTGGAAAAATATTGTTTGCTTCTACATGATAAATAGGGTTTTGTATGAACAGTAGTTGTGCAAATTTTACAGGCAGTAATTTTGAAACGCACTGATATTAAGCATTGCTTTTTAAATCTTAATATTTCTTTCAGGTTCAAAGGTAAAGAACTGACTGTTATGTTATTATTTTAATATTAAAATAAATCTAGGAATATTGGTCTCAAGCATTACAGTACATATGTCCTTTGGGTTTGATTTTAGTTTTGATTAACAATAATATTGCTGCCAGCAAATTTCATCAGTTATGATAAGTAAATATTGTTACCCTTTAAAGGCCTACAGTTATTTTATTATGTCTTTTTACTCAGGTTTTTTTTTTCCTGTAATCTGAAACAATTAAGGAGAATTATGTTTTCCTTCCAATTACTAATTGTTGTCCACTTTAATAAAGATGCACAAACAGTTTGTTTTTTGTTGTAATTCAGAGTTCAATTCTGAGGCATCAAATGAAGAATTAAAACAACGTCTCCAAGAAATTTTAGAGGTAGGTTATTACTACTGTTAGACTTTTGAATGACACTATTTTCAGTACAAGCACACAAATACACACAAATGCACGCATGCACACAGAGTATCATGTTTAGTTTTGGGGGTTTATTCTGGAAGCAAAAAATAGTTGTGTTTTATAAATTAACAATTACATTTTAACTATTTTTAAATTAAATATTTAAATTAATTTAAAATATTCAGATGCTTCTAAAATGGTAGTTTCCTTTCCTTAGACATGAACAATATCTTTCTCTTCTCCCAGAAGTGAAAAAATAAAGACACAATACAGATGGTCTATAGCAGGGGTGTCCAACCTTGGCAACTTTAAGACTTGTGGACTTCAACTCCCAGAATTCCTCAGCC